AATTGAATTTTAGTAAATTCTTTCTAGATCAATTGAAACAATCAAGTGACTTTTTGCTCATTCTAACAATAAGGCACATTGTAGTGATTTTTTTGTTTTGTTTTTGTTTTTGTTTTTCAAGGCAGGGTTTCTCTGTGTAGCGTTGGAGCCTTTCCTGGAACTCACTCTGTAGTCCAGACTGGCCTCAAACTCACAGAGATCCGCCTGCCTCTGCCTCCCGAGTGCTGGGATTAAAGGCGCGCGCCACCACCGCCCGGCTTGCTTTTGTTTTTTTAATAATGTGATTGTCTCAATTTTGTATCAGAATAACCTCAAAGAATTAGGTAGGATATGTTTTCTCCTCTTCAGATTGTTTGTGTGTTTAAATTATAAACAACACAATTTTCTTCAATTTTGCTATAAATGTTTGGTAGAATCACCAATAAAATATGTATGACCACAGTTATTGTGTTTGGTGGCCTCTTAAATACTGATTTCAACCTGCTTATTATGTATAGGTCTGTTCCGATGTTGTTTCTTTGTGATATAGTCTTGGCAGGTCCTGTGTCCCTCTCAATGTTCTCCTATTTGTTGGCATACAGTTGTTCACAGAACTTTTTAAAATTCATTCAGTCTTTGGAAATGGGTAAAAATGGTGATAATTTCAAATAATGTCTTTTGCTCTATTGGGTTTTGTTTTTCTAGTTCATTTTTCTCAACTTTATTCTTTATGGCTTCTAGCTTGTAGTTTGTTCCTTTTCCTCTTTTTTTTTTTTTTTTTAAGATTTATTTATTATGTATACAGTGTTCTGCCTGCATGTGTCCCTGCAGGCCAGAAGAGGACACCAGATCTCATTATAGGTGGTTGTGATCCACCATGTGGTTGCTGGGAATTGAACTCAGGACCTCTAGAAGAGCAGCCAGTGCTCTAAACCATTGAGCCATCTCTCCAGCTCTTCTTCTTCTTCTTCTTTTTTTTTTTTTTTGAGACAGGTTGCTCTGTGTAACAGCCTTGGCTGTCCTGGAACTTAGCCTGTAGAACAGGCTGTCCTGGAACTCAGAGAGATCCATTTTTTTTTTTTTTCAAATACCTAAAGCTGTAAAGTTAAATTGTAGATTCAGACTTCTGTTTCATGTGTTTATGGCTACGTATTTCTCCTTTGACACGGCTTTGGCAGCAGCCCTTACATTTTGGGTTGTGTTTTCTTTTCCTTCATTTCTAAGCATTTCCTAATTTAATCTCTTGTACTGTTTAATTTCCACGTATGTAAATTTCTTAGTTTTACTTCAAATCACTTCTATCTTATCCTAGTGTGGTCTGAGATGATGTATAATATTTTCTTTTAAAATCTACTGGTACTTGGTTTGTCATCTAACGTTTTATCCTGGAAAAAGTCTCATATGCATTTTAAAATAATGTTTGCGCCTTTGGCTGGTCCATGTTTTTTAGATCTCTTTATTCACTGTGTTCATGTTCCCTGTTTCATATGTATGTCTGCTATTTTTACCCATTCTTAGGTAAAGAGGTATTGATAGTCCAATTATTAGCACAGAATTCTCCCTTGGGTTCTACCATTACTTTGCTTCATATGAACTGGGTGTGTAATTGTTTATAATTGTTACATACTATTAGTGTTGCTAATTTTACTGTCTTTCTTAGTTACTTATGACCTTCCTCTAAGGAACCTGCCTTACTCCGTTTTTAGACAGGACCCATTATGCTGTATTTTTAAAAATAAGTTTCTATTTACTGAGAGTTGAGTTGCTCTGTTTCCTGGAATTTGACCTTCCCCAACCCATGACCTTGGTTTGTTTTTGAGAATACTCTCACCCTCCTTGACCCTCTCTGACCCCTCCCTAATCACACGGTGATCACATAATTTTTTTTATAGATTTTTTTTTTGTATTTCCTTATGCTCCATTGTCTCCCTTCTATAAAACTACTGTTGATTTTACTCTTTAAAGGGGCCCAAGAGATGAATTCGGGGCTGCTCTCTTTAACCTGATTTAGGAGGCAACCGCTGGCCAGCTCTTGGGTGCACCCCAATAAAAAAAAAATCAAGTTTACTTCAAAATGTGGTAGTGGTTTTATTATCGCCATTGGGATTAACACCTATTTTGGTTAATATTTTAGTCATTTCCAACCTATTTGTCTTTGGGTCTATAGTTAATCTGTATTTTTAAATTTCACTTTGTTTTCAATTTTTTTTTTTTTTTTTTTTTTTTTTTTTTTTTTTTTTTTTTTTTGGTTTTTCGAGACAGGGTTTCTCTGTGTAGCTTTGCGCCTTTCCTGGAACTCGCTTTGGAGACCAGGCTGGCCTCGAACTCACAGAGATCCGCCTGGCTCTGCCTCCCGAGTGCTGGGATTAAAGGCGTGCGCCACCACCGCCCGGCTGTTTTCAATTTTTGAGGCACTTAAAATCTAACCCTTGTTTGCTGAAGTCTTGCTTTGGTGGGGGTTCAGGTCCCAAAGTGGATGTATGGAATTGGTGGTGGGGTGGGGGTAGGTGGGTGGTCACAGTCTGAGGGTGATCCAAAATCTGGATGGCTTCCAAAAGCATTTAAAAAAAAAAGAAAAAAGCATACACCTTTTATACTCTAGGGTTAGTTGCGCATTAACTAACTAATTTAATAGGATTAAATGGGAAGAAGGGAGCATGTGAGCTTGGGTATGGCTTCAGTTCAGGAGGTTGGGGAATCTAGCATTGACCTTGACAATAGGCAGAGTCATATATTAATAGAGGGCCTTAAGAATGAGTGCTTCCATACTTCATGCCATGTACCTCTTTCTTCATCTGGCTCTCTTAGGATAAACTGGTAAATAGAATGTTTCCCTGAATGCCCCTTTCATGGCCTGTGATGGTTTGAATGAGAGATGGGAGAGAATGGCCCCCATTGGCTCATATATTTGAATGCTTAGTCACTGAAGAGTGGAACTGTTTGAGAAGGATTAGGAGGTGTGGCCTTGTTGGAGTAGGTGTTCACTGGGGGTGAGCTTTGAGGTTTTAAAAGCCCACACCAGGTCCAGTCTCTCTCTGCCTGCTGTATTCAGATCAGGATACAAAGCTCTCAGCTACTGCTCCAGCACCATGCCTGTCTTCTTTCTGCCATGATGATCATAGACTCATCCTCTAAAACTGTAAGCAAGCCTTCAATTAAATGCTTTCTTAAAAAAAAAAAAAGAGTGCTTCAGCAAGCAGGAACTTTCCTCAAGCCCCACTGACAGCATCTGAGTCCTGAGGCAGGGTGGAGGATAACAAGTTCCCAGAAGGCACCTCAGCCGCTGCCGAGTAGAGAACCCCACTGTGAGGATTACACTGCAGTGGACAGAGTGGTTTTGCTTGAACCAAGGTTCTGCGGTATATTAAAACAATGAAGAGCTCCAGAAATGGCTCAGTAGTTAAGAACATCGGCTGCTCTTCCAGAGAACCTGGGTTTGATTCCCAGCACCTAGATTGTTGGGAGCCAGGCCAATTCAAGGCTTTCTCAGAGGCCCTGATGAAAGGACAAACAGAACCTATTATGAGTCCTTGTCCAGTGGCAAATTTGGTAAGGTCTGGTCTGGGGTTGGAGCCAGGACCTCAGAGGAGATAAAAGTTTCAGTTCCTGGGAATCCAGCTTCACCCCTTGGGCTGTGGTCTTAAGGCAGCTGAGTCTGAGACATCCTATGTTCTTTGCCAATACTGATTTAGCTTTCTGTTGACCGGGGCCCATTCCCTCCTACTAATAGTATATAAGATGCTACACCTCTTAATAACCTTGCTTGCCATAAGAAGTAGCTTGTGCTAGACCTCCGGAGTCCAAACTTTCCTGTCTTCTCATCCCCTGGTCCTTCTCAGGAACCTGTCACTGAAAAACGACCTGCTGGTCCAGGTCACATCATAGCTCACAACCACCTGAAAACTCCAGTTCCAGAGGATCTGACATCTCTTCTGGCCTCCTTGGGCATCAGGCATGCAGAGACATGCATGCAGGTAAAATACCCATACAGATAAAACAAACAACAACAAGCCCCTATGCCCTACTGGGGACCCAGGCTCTATCCATTCTGACATCTCCATTCAAGAGATGTCACACTTCCTTGATCACACTTAGGAATGCTCCCTAGAATGACAGAGGTCCTACACCCTGCCCTGGGGGCAGAGACAGCCACCAGGCCAAATTAGCACTAAAGCAGTTTATATTCAACACCCTAATTGATCTGGACTCCCTATCCAGTCCCATCACTATAGAAGGTAAGTGATTATTAGAAAGACAGAGCTAGGTGTCCTGAAGGCCCATCCATTTTCACATGTGGAGGTCGGAGGACAACTTTCAGGAGTCTTCTCTCCTTCCAGCAGGAGGCTGCCAGGCTTGCATGGCAGGGGCTTTACCTGATAGGACGTCTCACAGGTCCCTGGTGCCTGTTTTAGCTAATACGTTGTTTGTTTGTTTGTTTTTTTCCTACACCACAGTCCCATTGATTTTGTCAGAGATATTGATGGATAATCTAATGTGGAATCATTGTAATTTTTTGGATTATTCCTCTAAGGATCTAATGAGAGGTAAGAGGGAGCACTTTATAGAAAAGTGCATGGCACGTTTTTGTGTATGTGCATGTGATAGACATTAACCATGGATACCATTTTTCAGTCACCATCTACCTTGTTTTATGAGACAGGATCTCTCACCGGGACCTGGCACTTGCCAAGTAGGCAAGGCTAGCTCAAGCCCCAGGGTTCTTCCTGACCCTACCTCCCCAGTATTGAGATTCAAGTGTGTACAACCATGCCAGCTGTTCTTTTAAAACATGGGTCCTAGGGGTTTGTGGTGATATTTTATTTGTGCTCTAACAAATAAAGCTTACCTTGAAGATCAGAGTGAGGAGCTAAGCCACTAGTTAGTGATAGAGGCCAGGCAATGGTGGCTCACAACTTTAATTCCAGCACTTGGGAGACAGAGGCAGATGGATCTCTGTGAGTTCAAGGCCACCCTGGGCTACACAAGGTTGATCCAGTCTAAAAGAGAAACAGAGCCAGGCAGTGATGGCACACACCTTTAATCCCAGCCCTTGGGAGGTAGAGACAGGAAGGGATATGGCTGGGCAGAGAGAGGAATATAAGGTGGGAGGAGACAGGAGCTCAGATCCCTTTCAGCAGAGGATTTCATAGAAGTAAGAACTAGTGGCTGCTGCTCTGCTTCTCCGATCTTTCAGCTTTCACCCTGATATCTGACTCCAGGTTTTTATTAATAAGACCAATTAGGATTCGTGCTACAGGGGTTGAACTCAAGTCCTTGTGCTTACGTGGCAAGAACTTTACCAGTTAAGCTATCTCCCCACTCCTTACAACACTGTGAATACTAACCTGAGGAATACTGGACAGTCATTAGAGTATCACCACCCGCAATGTGGCTTTTGGGTGAAGCATAGGCGCGTGCACAGGTGCACGCTCACACGTGTGTGTAGGCCCAAGGTTGATGTTGGGTATCTTCCTTGATCACTAATATACTGAGGCGAGGTCTTTCAACTGAACCCAGAGCATGCTGATTTGGCTAATCTTACTGGCCAGCTTGCTCTGTAGAGTCCTTATCTCCAATCCCTTCACTCCCACCCCACCTCTGCCACTGGCCACATAGCTCAGGCCACATGCCCATCTAGTTTTTTTACATGGATGCTAGGAATCAGAACACCCACTGATTATCCAGAGTCACCTCCTCAGCCCTCTTGTTCTTTTTATTTGTAAGTGTGGCCCTGTGACATCAGAGACTGTGTGCTCAGTGCATAAGAGGCACCCAGTGAGATCGCCTTTGAAGGGAACAGCAGCGTTTTCAAAGACCCACTACTGGGGATAGTAGAGCTGCATGACCTGAAGACACCATCACTTCATTTACACAGTGAAGGATGTTTTAGAAACCAGAGTTGTCTCCGAGAGAATGCAGCTTTACCTTAAGGATAAGAATAGCCCTGTGGCCAGGCGGTGGTGGCGCACACCTTTAATCCCAGCACTGGGGAGGCAGAGGCAGGTGGATCTCTGTGAGTTCGAGGCCAGCATGGGCTACAGAGTGAGTTCCAGGACAAGCTCCAAAGCTACACAGAGAAACCCTGTTTCAAAAAACAAAACAAACAAACAAAAAAAAATAGCCCTGTGAATGCACACAGGTGTATGGCTTTTAAAAGCCAGAGTTTGGGTTGTTGTTACTGTTTTTAAGGAGCAGGTGGGAAAAGTGTTAGCTTGTCACAATCTAGTGTCTGTTTGTCTCTGATCTTTAGGGAAAATACACAAAGCATTTGATTAGAAAAAAAGTTTTGGATTATTCTTTGAACCTGTGACAGGGAAAACAATTTGTTGGTTCAAATGCCTGGTTAGCCACATAATCACATGGATAATCTCTCTTCTTAATTCTGATGATGTTCGGCAGCTGTCAAAACCTGCAAGAAATTCCAAAAGGTATACCTTTAACATGTTTTTTTTTTTTCCTTGCTGATTATCATACAGAATAAATATTAAGGAGGAAGGGAATGATGTAAAAAAAAAAAACCCTTCACTTCTGGGCAGAGATTGTAGCTCAGTGGCCACATATCATTTTTAATATGTACAATGACTGTAGATTTAATAGCCAGCATCAAAAAGCCAGGCATGTTGGTGCATGCCTTTAATACCAGCCATAAGAAAGTAGAGGCAGGCAGATCTCTGGGAATCCAAGGCCAGCCTGGTCTGGTCTATAGTGAGTTTCAGGCTAGCCAAGACTACATGGAGAGACCCTGTCCCAAAAACCAAAATAAACAAATATATATAAACAAACAAGCAAATAGATTATAACTTCATATAATGTCACTATTTTTGTTGCTGTTAACCCATGACCAAAGGAACTGGTTATCTTGAGAAGAACTCCTAGCATAAGCAGATGGAAACACAATGTTGTAGTTTTTACTAAAGGTTAAAAAAGGGGGCGGGGCTGGGAATGGTGACCCATGCTTTTAATATCAGCACTCAGGAGGTGAGTTCAAGGCCAGTCAGGAAGGTACAATGAGAGCTTGTCTAAAAAATAAAATATCCCCATGTAATGTGTAAAGCATAAAGTGAAAGAAGGTTTGTTTGAAGCAAAGGCAATTACAGACACAGAGAATCTATCGTTCTGAACTCAGTGTAAGCTGGAAAGAGAGGAAGGGAGAAAAGAAACTATACAAGAGTTTTAACTGTAGATTTCCCCGTGTATTTCTTTGGGCTATCTGTTGACTAGCAGAGAACTGTGGGGAAAGAAGAAGGTCTCAAATTCCTGATTGGACTGGTTATTTCAGACACTTGCGTTGAGTCAGTGTGATTAGGCTATGGATCCATTTAGATCATCTGTCCTCTGTAGGTAACAGACGTGCACATGGTACACAGACATGTAGGCTACACACACACACACACACACATACAATAGAAATTAATTAAAAAAGCCAATCATGGGGGCTGGAGAGATGGCTCAGAGGTTAAGAGCACTGACTGCTCTTCAAGAGGTCCTGAGTTCAATTCCCAGCACCCACATGGTGGCTCACAACCATCTGTAATGAGATCTGGTGCCCTCTTCTGGTGTGTAGGCATACATGCAGGCAGAACAGTGTATACATAATAAATAAATCTTAAAAAAAAAAAAAAAGCCACTCATGGTGGTGTACACATCTGTAAATCCAGCACTTGGGGAAGAAGCCAGATCAGTTCAATGACCTCTTTGGCCATACAGCAAGCTTGAAGCTAGCCAGGAATACACGAGACCCTGTCTCCACCCACTATCCCCACTCACACACAAAAACACGAGACCCTGTCTCCACCCACTATCCCCACTCACACACAAAAAAAATTCAGAGATTTAAGTGGTTTAACTAAAAACATCCAGCTTATGAGAAATTCTAGACAAAACCCATAGTATTTGTAAGACAAATATTTGTGCAGGTGTTCTGACGTGTGCCCGGAAGACACTGCCTTTCTGCTCATGCCTCACCTCCCAGCAGCTACTACCAGTTCTCTGGGTGCTAGATACCCTGTGAGGAGAGGGCACACTCAGCCACGGAAAAACTCAGTCCCGAACTTCATGGAGTTTACTAATTTCACGGACAGGCTAACCCGATAAACAGTGCCCCACAGAAAATAAACACGCTGTTACGGAGGGACACTCCATGAACAAGGGACAGGGGAGACTGTGGGTGAATGGAAAGGCTCTGGGGTCTCCTGGACCCAACACTGGACTGAAGTGCAGCTGCAGGTCCCCATGTTGAGAGGAGGTGCAGTGGCTAATATTAACTATCTACTTGACAGAACCTAGAATCACCTGAGAGGAGTCCCTGGTGACGCCTGGGAGGGATTATCTTGGTTAGATAACTGAGGTGGGCCGGGTCAACACTGCTCCCAGGACTTGAGTCTGGACTGCATCAAAAGGATGCTAGCTGAGCATCAGCCCTCATCTCTCTGCGCTTCCTGACTGTGGACACACGTGACCAGCTGCCTCATGATCCTGCCCTCACGCCTTCCCCTCTGTGACAGTCTGTTTCCTGGAATGGTGAACCAGAATAACCCCTTAGGATGCTTGTGTCACAGCAACATATGACTAATCCAGGAGGCTAGAGGTGGGGGATGGGCTCAAAGACTCCCTACTTGCACAGGTCTCCTGCTCTGCCAATGTGGCTTCTGCTGAAATCTCTCCTGGTGGCGCCAGAGGAGGCTTTCTCACTGTGTTCTCACCAGCAGAGGGGCCTGTTCTGATCTCTACTTATGCTGTCATCAATCAGTCAAACCACTGTCCTAAGCATATGTGACCTGAATTACTTCCATACTCCAGTGTGGCCATATTGGATAAGGACTTCCACATATGAATCTAGGCAAAGACAATTCAAGAAAGGCCTGACTTAAAATAGCATGGCTTCTGTCATCTGCCCAGGAGCCCTAAACTACCAGCAGTTAGCTGGAAATGCTTCCAGTCCCCAGACGCCCAAAGTGAAACAAGAATCCTTTATCAAGGCTGTCGTGCATGGTGGCTGTCCTGTAAAACCTGTACCTCATCATGTAGGGCCATAGCCATTGTGACTCTTCCAGAGAGTAATTCATGGCAGACCGCTCTTCACTCATACTGACTGTCCCACACAACTACTGAAAAATGACAATGCCATTATCATTGATGATGCTGTCCCTTTAACAAGTGGACAACTGAGTTTAAATTGTCCAAGACTTGTCCTTTTATGATGTAACATTACTTACATGGCTGTCTTTGTTCTTAGATGTGTAACAGTGAAGTATTCTGGGAGAAATTCAGAATCTTACAAATGTTCTCTTGATACTAAAATAGGGGTGACAACTTGCAAGAAGTGGCTAGATTTATACCAAAATACAGGGTCTAGCAAAAACTCACCAAGAGACAGTAGACAGCATTTTTCGAAATTTAACTAAATTGACAAGATAAAAAGGATTGAAATTGAATTTACATGTAACCATTAGAGTAGTGGTTCTCAACCTTCCTAATGCTGTGACCTTTTAATACAGGTCCTCACGCTGTGGTGACCCCCAACCATAAGATTATTTTCACTGGGTGGTGGTGGTGCACACTTTTAATCCCTGCACTTGGGAGGCAGAGGCAGGTGGATCTCTGTGAGTTCGAGGCCAGCCTGGTCTACAGAGTGAGTTCCAGGACAGCCAGGGCTACACAGAGAAGCCCTGTCTCGAAAAACAACACAACACAAACAAACAAACATACAAAAGGAAAGTTTATCATCAGTGCTGGGATTAAAGGCATGCACCACCACCACCTGGCCCTTTTGTAGTCTTAATAATCTATTAACACAGAGCAAATGGTTGATCAATTCTCAACTTTTAGCTCTAACATGGCTTTAGTTCCAAAGATAAGAAACAGAAAGCCAAAGTGCTTCTGTAGGAATCCCATCCTCTCCTGGACGGCAAACATGCTAACATAGTAACACAAGAATTCAGTGATAAAAGACGAAGACAGTAAAGCCTTTCCACCAGCGTGGTGTGGAGAAAGCTATGACCTCCCATCTCGCCTCTTTCTACAGAATCTACCCACACCAGCAGAATTCAGCCCAAGGGCCATACCTACTATGGCTTGGGGACCAAGTGTTTGTCAGTGAAAGGTCCTCGTCCTGGGACACTGGAGACACCGCCTGGCTACTGAGAGCCTGATCCCCCATCAACCCAATCGCCTCTGTCACCAGAGGCACCTCACTGCCGGGAGAATCATGAAGTATGGAGAGATCACTTGGTGAGCACTGTTATGTCAGCAGGTAAAAAACTATTTTCAAAGACAATAAATGTGAAATTTCACAACAGATGTGAAAACCCCTTTAATCCACTGCCAGATGCCACTTACTGCCAGGCTAAGCAATTGACACTGATAGCTAACCGTTCCCCTTTGTGATGTTTATGTTTAGAATAAAATTATTAATACTATCAAGGAGTCAAAAGGCCAGGACTGAAAACAAGAAATAACAGAAACTTTAAAGAAATACTTTGTTAAGGAATTACTAAAAATCCAAACAGGAGGCCATCTTCTCATAGTTTTATGAATTCAAATGAAAACTTGGAACGTCTCCCCATACACATCTATAATTCTCATTGACAGACCTGATAAGCAACTGCTTTAGGGCACAAAGACACCCTCGTCAAAAACAGCAGTCCCTGAGGTCGGCTAGCATTGAAGGAGTGACAGAGGGAGACAGACCCTGTTCCCTGGTAGCTGACAACTTCAGGCAGGGACCCTTCCCAGTGTCCTCTTCATGAAGATGATTTTGTTGTCATGTAGGGGTAGGGTCCTTGTCCAGTGTCCTCTTCATGAGGATAACTTTATTGGTACATCCTGCCAGGAGTTCAGCTTAAGACTCTTTGGCCTGTAAGAATGGAAAAGGCCTGAGGTAGGAAGTGGACACTGGTCTGAATCCCTGAGGCAGATGGGGGGCTCTTGGAGCCAATATGGCTAGCCTCATTCTCAGACGACATCCACATGTACACATGGAGATTGCAGTCTGATCCTTCTAAACAACACACTGCCAGGCCTCATAGGAACAAAGTACTGTGTCCAGAGCAGCCCCAACAGCAGATCAGGATCAATGAGCACACAGTTGGTGAGCACCATCTACAGGTCTCAAATACCCCACTGTTCAAACAGAAGCTGCTGAAAGGTCAGGTGAATGCCTCTCTCCAATAGACCATGGTTACAATGACCCCAGGAATCTCTGGGCACTTCTTTTGGCCGGTCCCAAAAGCATTAAAAATGGATGTCACCATAGAACACAGATAATCAATTAATATATATGTTTTTTAAAAGGCCGTCAGCAGTGCCCTGCGCCGTCAATGGATCCAAAGGCAATCAGTGAGTGAAGAGAGCCAGCCTCCAAGGTCACTGGTATGTGGCCATTTGTTCACATTGGTAAAATGCTCAAATCAGAGGCAATTGAGCCACCAGTCCCGGTGAGCATGTGCATGAGGCTGGCTCGGAAGTACAGTGCCACTCAATACCTGTCCCAGGGAAGTTATCCTCGGAAAGCCATCCCTTTGCTAGCATCCTAAATGGAAGCTACAGCTAAAGATTAAGATGTCAACTGCTAAATAATCTTCCTTTAGAAACATTTCGAGAACCAGAACACTGGCTACCTCCAGAGAACTTCAGAACATGTAAGGAAGACTCACTGTTAGCCTTCAATTCTGTATGTCAGCTCACACAGAGCATGCAAACTGATGTGAGGTTTAACTTACAGTGAAGGAAGTCCACACCTGTCTGAGGAGACTGTAGGTTCTAGCCCCAGGACACTGAGTTTGATTGAGATGTTCTGGCCACAAGACAAGACCACACTGTCCACCACCTTACCATCCTTCCTTTCCCTTGCCATAAAAGACCTCTGTCCCTAAGTTCCCTAAGACAGGCTTTGGGGGTGGTGCCCCTGGTCTCCCAGCATGGCAGTCCTCTGTTAATCTCTTTTCCCCTCAGCTCTTGGCTCCCAAACATTGGCTTTCCAGTGACGAGCAATCTAAACATGGACCCAGTGGCATTACCCCCTCAATGGGTCTCTGGGAGCACGTGACCAAACAGAAGTGACCGTAACACTTCTGAAAAAAAAAACATCTCTTCACTGGGCTCAAGGGAAGCTCACGGCTGTCTTCACACTCAGGCAGAACTGCCTCACGAGCTCTGAGACTATTTATTAGTCAGTGACATCCAAGAGAGCTCCACCACATGCTGTTTCCCTTATTATCTTAAAGCTACATTTTACAACATTAATCTCAAGTAAATGATTTATGCTAAACAATTTTTTTCTGGTAAATAGAAGCCTGATTCTTTAAAAAGATGACAGTATGTTTTATTCTGAATTTAAGTTCGGCGTACCCCAGGAGAGCAAGAATACTCTAGAAGAAACAGACTTTCAAAGCCAGCCCCCATGGGCGTGTGAGCTGACAGGCAGAGTGCAGCCCTGACCTCTACACACCTAGGCAGATTTCTCTTGTCTCCTTTTATTTGGGGAAAGTCGTTAGGAGACTTCAGAGGCACACTGCGTACTCTTGGCACGTATCGACAGGGAAGACGGGCCCAGGGGACTACAGAACTTTGTTCCCCAGGCGCTCCTTTCTTAGGCCCAGGCTGTCACACTCCTGTCCCTTGCTCGTTCTCTCTGCCTTGTCCACAGGGACACCCCCATCCTGGCTCCCTTTCTTCCCTCTATCCTGGGTGAAGGCTTTCCCCGACTTGGGTTCGTCTTCGCTCCTCCTGGGAAACCTGGTAAACTCAGAGTGACTGCTGTGCTTTCTGCAACCATCTGGGTGACATCTTGGAGTTTCAGGTTCTTTCTCTCGAAATCTTTTGTCCCTTTGCTCTTTATCACTGCCATCCTGCAACCTGTGAGTCAATACAAACGGTCAATAACTAACTGTAGGTAGATGGCTGATTATCTGTCTCCCTTCTAGACTCTGAATGGGGTGCACAGGACCTGAGCCCATCACTACAGGGGTGTATAGGACCTGATCCCATCACTACAGGGGTGCACAGGAGCTGATCCCATCACTACAGGGGTGCACAGGACCTGAGCCCATCATTACAGGGGTGCACAGGAGCTGATCCCATCACTACAGGGGTGCACAGGACCTGATCCCATCTCTACAGGGGTGCACAGGAGCTGATCCCATCACTACAGGGGTGCACAGGAGCTGATCCCATCACTACAGGGGTGCACAGGACCTGAGCCCATCACTACAGGGGTGCACAGGAGCTGAGCCCATCACTACAGGGGTGCACAGGAGCTGAGCCCATCACTACAGGGGTGCACAGGAGCTGAGCCCATCATTACAGGGGTGCACAGGAGCTGAGCCCATCACTACAGGGGTGAGTTTAGCAGCAATGGGCTCACAGTAAGCATCTAACAAAGGACGTGGAAAGATGGACAAATAATATCTGCTACTATATCTGAATGACAAGCATGCAGTGACATAATGCTGAGATATGCAGACACACTCCTAACTCTCCCCACTTTACAGCTTAACTAAACGAGTGACAGTCTAGATTCCCAGGCGTGCATGCGACACAGCCTCAACAGTTTTATTCTGCTCTAAGCACAGCACCCGACTGAACTTGGGTTTAATACGGCCAGGTGACTGACTGAGGCATATCTAAAGGCTAAGTGAATAGTGAGTAAGTACATGGCTACTTGGTTTGGGGTTCTTGAAGTCTTTGCTTCCCTGAACCATGGGTACAAGCCACCACCATGTCCCCTCTGTGGCTTATCCACACGGGAGGCATGGGAACAAGTGAGGACTTATGACAGCAATAACAGGTACTGCTGTACCATAAACAATGACACTAAAATACTCCAACCCGAATCAAAGGGTAGAGATTCCAAGAGCGGCAGGAACCCTAGGTCGGGCAAGCCTGGGTGTGTGTGGCAGGTATGATAGATAGTCAGGGCAGGGGGCTATGCCTGCCAGCTTCACGGCTGAGCTCTTCCCATGAAACCGTGTCATGAGCAGGTAAAGATGGAGGTAAGACCAACAAAAGACAGACCTAAGGAGGGGATTTCACTATTGAAGGCCTACTGCTCCACCACAGAAACAAACAAACAAAACCCCCAAAACTGGCCACCTCGAAAAGATCAGACTCTGAAATTTGTAGTTGTAGGTAGCTGAGATTTAATCACAGATTAACTGTAGGGGAGCTGGAAAAAAAATGTGGGGGAAACCTCAACACACAGAGGGAAGCAATGACCAGGTACAAACCACACAGAAATAAAGACTCAGAGGCAGACCCTGGAGACATACGTCCAGGAAGGAAGTCTTATGGAGGAAAAGGAAGCCGCTCAAGAAGTGACGTTAAGGAAGCCCCAGGAACCGCTCCTCATTTGAAGAGCCACCCGAGACTGCTGACTCGATGCTTACTAACTCCTGGCATGGTCAACAGAAACAAACAAGCTAGCATACTCCAAGGGCAATGTGAAGAGCACACAACTTGCATTGATGCTGTGACTCCACACTGGGGGCAGGAGGCAGTCACAGGAACAAGAGCATGCTCACCTCTCCCCAGGCATCTCCGGCAGGCCTTCCACTGGCCGGGGTTCCTGCTTCTCGTCTCCAGGACCAACTGAGTCACCTCTTTCTTTGGGTTTCTCTGTGGTTGCTTCTTCTCCTGTTTCCAGCTTTTTAAGAAGCTGAGAAATTGTAACGTTAATAAAATATTACTCAATGCTATATCATAAAATAAATTGTTAAATAATTAAAAATATATACCAATATTGAGCTCAAATGTTTGAATAGCAAAGGAATTGTTGTAGGCCCAAAAATCAAAAACAAGAACAACTGCCACCCATCTGTTTTGGGTTTAATACATATGACACTATCAATAAAATCTTTACAATTATGAAAAATGATGTAGGATTGTTAAAATAATGGCATCCAATTTAACAAAAGAACACTATAAAACAAAATGTGTATTGATCTGAGGCCAGCTCCCACCTTTTAAGGGTTCCTATGAGGAGAAGAGAGGAATAAGAAACTTTTAGATAGAAAGATAGCAGAGAGGAGACAGACAGAAACACAGCAATGTTTTGGGAGGGCCTGGATCAAAATCCACTGGCCCCTTCTGTCTCTTCAAAAGGGCTTTTTATAACAATGCCAAGGGGCAGGGCAAAAGATCTCCCCCTTGCTAGATCAAAGCATACCACACAGCCAAGTGCAGACCCTTCCAAACACCTGGCAACCACACCTGTGGTCCAATCATTCCCCTATGCAGCTCTGCTGGGTAAAGCAAGCTCAGATCTCACTAGGAAACCTCTGGGGGTCTCCACGGTGATCCAATTTTGATTTACATGTTAGTACACACATACCCTGCTAATGGAGCCTAATTCTGAGCAACACTTTATTAGGTAGTTTTGTCCTTGTGCCAACATTAAAGTGTCCTTACATGAAGTCACTATACAAGTTAATCTCATAGTCACTGTTACAGTCTGAGTATTAAATCTTCCCAAAAATTCATGTGTTAAACCCTTGGTCTCCAGCTAGAGGTATTATTTTGGAACTAGGTCATTCGAAACAAGCCCTTGGAAGCTCTGTCATGTCCTGCGTCTTCCTTCTTTGTCTTCTAATTCTTGTCTATGTGGCAGTGAAAGCCTCCACCACAGGAACCCACATGCTCTCCTGCTCCTAACTAACCACTGAGCATCTCTCCATCCCCGCCCTTTTGTTTTTTGAGACAAGTTCTTGCTATCTAACTCAGTCCGGCCTTGAACTGTTGAGCCCCCTGACTCTGTCTCTCAGTGCTAGCAACACAGGCTTATGTTAAAACACCTGGCTTATGTGGTACTGGGATTTAAAATCACAGCTTAACCCACTCTAGGCAGTACTCTACCAACTGAGTTACAGCTCCACCCTTGTGAGTAGCTTTTTGAAGACTCTCTCTGCCCATTAGTCTTCTGCTCTTACAGCTTTGGTCAGGTTCCCTGACTTCACTGCTCCTATGATACTATGCAATTTTAAAAACAACAGACATCAGGGGCTGGAGAACTGGCTCGGTGGTTAAGAGCACTTGTTGCTCTTGAAGAGGACCTGGATTACGTGATAACACCCACATGTGGCTCCTCCAGCTCCAGGGCATCCAACGTTCTCTTCCGGCCTCTGCAGTTACCAGGCACTATGTCGTGCATACACACAGACTTTGCTAACCATAGACATGTTCCTTATGTATTAAAAGTAACAGTTAGTGATAGTTGATACTTTCTTTATTTGTACAGTTCTTCAGAACCCTAATAAGTACCTTAAATCTTCCGTGGAGTAAGGTGAAACCATGCCGGGCTGAAATCTCAGTTTAAAAAAGTCCTAAGAAGGGTTGACTCCAATGCTGACCAATATATCGAGGAGAAAAATCTCTTCAATCAATGTGAACGGATGCATCAGTCATGGGGGAAACTGGACATGAGGGTGAAAGTGATGGGGGCTGCCTAGTGCTGAGCCTTGGGTGTGAGTCTGAGTTCTGAGCTACTGAGGCAGGACATGGAGAAGCCCTGCAGGAAGTTCTCAGGAGAATCTAAGGCAGGGACCCTTTGGGTGCCGTGACCCACTCCACACTGGGAGGCCAGAGCCTCATGCCTTCCACTGCCTGAGCACACGTACGTAGGCTGTGTAAGGACGCCTGACCTTAGGGGAACGTCTGAGGCCACTGTTGTAGAGTGGGTATAAAGCACTGATAAAGGCTGGATTAACTGAATACTTAGATGGCCTCATCACTCTAGGAGAACTACACTGTGGGGGAAGAAGAAATGTTTCCCCAGTATTACCTTAATCTTCACTTCCTTCTCGGTTCTCTTCTGCTTATCCACCTCTTTCCTTTTACATCTCTCCTCCTCTCTCCTTTTCCTTTTCTCCTCTTCCCGTAAACGCTTCTTCTCCAGCTCCCTCCTCCTCCGCTCTTCGCGCTTTTCTTCTCGAATTCTCTGAAAGTATAGACAAACACGTATGTAGATTTTGTGGATGGAACCAGCGAGCACAGGACAGATAGTCACCGGGTAAATCGACACCTACCTGCTTTTCTAGTTTTCTATTTTTAATATATTCCAAAAGAGGTGTGGTTCTTCTGGCTAAAGAACAAAAATTGTAATACATCACAAATCACTTCTAAATTGAGATTTATTTTAAATACTTGTTTCCAATTTAATATTAAAATAATTAGGGGAAGAATACTATCTCTAAAATTTACACGGGCATGCACTGTACCCAGGGGCATTCTTATTCTATTATGACAAATGTAAGTAATCTGGAGGTACTGATAATTTTGCACATGGTAAGCATGCCATTCTTTTAAGCGTTTTATTAGCATATATCAATTATAGACAATAATAGGTCATTTTGACATTTTCATACATGTATACAATGCATTTCGATCACATTTACACTCCATGACCAGTCCTTGACCCTCCCACTCCTGCAGTAGCCTTTCTCTTCCCAGCTAACCCTCCGACTTCCACGGTCTACCTTCCGTGTTGTGGTGGGGTGACCCAGGGAGTTTAACTAGGCTGTTTATAGGACTACAGGCAAGCGGTTATTTACGGGGGCACAGGCGTCAGTGAAGAAAAAGACACAAGATTCTTTTTCTTCAAGTAGTCATTAATATTGCTCACACAGTGGGCAAAAAAAGTAGTATGTGTGTGATAATCTTAAGCTTCTCAAATGTTATTAACATCTTTTTATACTTCTGAAGAATCATAAATAGCATTTACATACTTACTTTGATGCTATGCAAATTGCCAGTTTTTGCTTTTCCAGTTTTTAGTGTTTTTCTTTTAATGTTTATTTAGTTTCACTCTATCTGTATGAGTGTTTGTCTGCATGTATGTCTATGTACCATGTTTATGCCTGGTGCCTGTGGAGGTCAGAACAGGATGTCAGATTCCCTGGAACTGGTTAGTAATGGTAGTGAGCTGCCATGTGGGTGCTGGGAACTGCTGGGGTCCTCTGCAGAAGCAACAAGTGCTCTTAACCACTCAGCCATTTCTCCAGCCCCAACAACACAGAGCCTTTAATACATGCCAATCTAATTCAAAAATCCAAAATCTGAAATGCCTTCAACCAAAGTTTTGAGCACTGGCATAATGACACAGTGGAAAAGTCTACATGTGATGAGATATGTCAGTCAGAGAGGCATTACAAATGTATAAAACTGCCTTTGCACTATGTGCTTAAAATACACAGAAAACACAATTTTATCTTTAGACTTGTGTCCCATCTCCACAATATTTTATTACATATATACAAACATTCCAAAGTCCCAAACAGAACATTTCTGGTCCTTATCATTTCAGATATTCAATCTTCTTTATACTCAGTAAAACCAGAATAATGTGACATTAACTCCAAATACTAAAGTTTAGAAAATGATTCCTTACGGCACTGCTGACCAACAAAAGCACCCATTCCTCTTGTCTAAAGAACATACCCAAGCTTCTACCTTAACATCACCTCTCCTACTCCTCACCACTCATAGCTGAGTGGTATGTCAGGTGCCCCAGCACGCTACAGGCCTACAGGTGTCTGTCACCAGAGGGACCAGCTCCAAAAGGGAGGAGTTCCATGACCTCCACATGTAAGGACATGGTGAGAAGGTGGGAATCGTCTGGGTCTGCTCTGCAGATCTTCAAGATCTCAGATTGAATGGGACTGTGAAGAATCCTTGGATACACCTGAGAGTTGGCATGACATTTCCAGAATCGTGAGGTCCAGGAACTAGTAGAAATTTGTGAGGAAGCCACTAGACGTGGGCCCCTAATTCAAACCAAGGACTTCTGATACTTGACTTGACAGATCAAATGGTACTCAGCCTCGAGAGTGGACATGGTCAGAGGCCTGCACGTTATGGCAGGTGCTGTGGCCATGGATGTAATCAATCTGGCAGAAATGAATTCATTTCAAAGAGATACTTTGGCTGTCAGACTAACAAGACAGTGGATCCCAAGATAAAGTTTAGTAACATGGATACACTTTCCTCCTCCTTCCCTAATTACTGTATCACAAAATTTTACAAGGCTCAAGGAGGTGATGAGGTTTGCTGAGGTTATGAAGTGCCAAGTCTCAGAGCTAATCCTAGGTATGTCCATTCCAAAGACCTCCTGCCAACGAGAGTTTATCATAATCTTATTCAAACCTTATTTGTTAGGCTTGTTCACAAGACTCTGCAAAAGGTTAAAAGCTAAGAAAATATTGGCAACTCCTATCAATGACGTGGTGAAGATTCAAATTGAGAAGCAGAGAAGCAACTACAGCAGCCTCCAGAGTCCATGTCTGGGGTGAGTGAAGCGCCCGCCTGGGGGCTAAGAGTCAGCCTGGCATTTGGTCAATACATAAGTACTGCTGGTAATACAACGGGCACCAAGATGACAAGGACAGAGGCCCTCTGTGGGAACAGAGCTAGATCCGACCCACAAAAAGATGTCTCAAAGGTGGCCTGAAGCGACAGACCCTGTAACAAGAAACACTTAAACAGACCAAGAAAGATGGAGGAGGGGCCTGGAAGGTGAGTTTTAAAAATACCTAACTTGCCTTTTCTAACTTTGCAAGTATAACAAGTTTTGAAATCAGATCTCGATTTTTGCCCCCAAAGTATCTTTCTCCACCTTCTCTATGTATATATTATGTATGTACATATTACATATGCAAATATATATAACTAGCCATCTGCTCGTCTTAGATCTCTGGTCTTTAGTTCTCTCTACCCCTTAGCCCCCTCACTAATCTGTCTACCATCCTCCCTCCCCCAATATTTGACCTCTAAAACATACGCTCAGCATAATACAACAGCCTTCCCCGGGGAGCAAGAGCCATCAGCCAGTCCCCTGCTTCTTTCTGGCATTCCCCACCCACTGCGGACAGAGCAATGATCCACTCCCTGACAGGAATCTGGGTCTCCAGTCTCAACACTAGGGTTTCTTACATCTCTCAATTATACGAGCTTACACTCTGTTCCTATAGCTCCGGACTCTGTGGTCTGTTCATTCTCCAGACACTAAATTTCTACTGTCTCTTTTCTGCAACTACGAAGATGACAATGTATTTCAACCATGGGAGTGGGGGAGGAAACTGAGCAAGGAATTCATGTGAAGACTAACGAACCAATTATACCTGAGATGTTATACAAGTCTTGACAGGTAAGCAGAACACATAAGGGGTGCCAGGTTTTGTTTTTTAAAAAAGGGTTTTGTTTTGTTTTTTTTAAATCTTTTTTTGAATGTGTATGGGTGTTCTGTCTGCATGCATGTCTGTGTACCATGTGTGTGCAGTGCCCTCAGAGGCCAGAAGAAGGCACTGGATCCTCTGGTACTGCAGCTATAGATGGCTGTAAGGCACTGTCTAGGGGCTGGGAATCCAACCTGGATCCTTTGGAAGAGCAACTGATGCTCTTAACCTCTGAGCCATCCCTCCAGCCCCTTGAGAAGAGGTTTTTGATCCTGAGACTAGTCGGAAATGGAACATTCAGGTGTGTCTGAGACTAAACCGGGTGTGCCTGGTGAAAAATAAAGGTGCTCCATGTCTGCATGTGCATTTTCTGGGGCCTATTACAGGAGACAAACATTTCTAACCACTCCACTCTAGGAGGAAGCGTGAATGGAGTTCAAGCAGACCCTGGCTGCTGGCTGCGCTTATGCACAGACTGACTGCTTAGCTTCCACGGAAGGCTTGCTACTCTGCCCAAGCAGCAAAGCAGGTTCATATCTGAGCAAAACGTCTTGTCTCCAAAGGCTCCCGAGGTCCCCTCACGGCTGCTGACAGTCAGCATTGTGACAAAAGCTCCTCTCTGACCCAGCCAAGAGCACACATTTGTCTTTGGAAGTGTCATCATTTTAAATACGACCACTAAACACATCGCTTTTATCAACAAAGGCTCAAAAATATTTCCCTGCCCTATCACTCTTTTGTCGAAAGTAGAAAATACTGCTTCTATCAAGCCTGTAACAGAAAGAAATTTCACCCTCATCTTGAAGAAAGGAGAATAATCTATATATATATATATATATATATATATATATATATATATATATATATTCCATTAATAAGCATCTCAATAAAGAAACGGGCAAACAGACCGAGGAGCTCTCTTGTCCTCACTTCGATCTCTCCCAGAAGTGTCTCAGGACTAGCACTGGTTTTTTCTTCCTCCAAACTGTATGTTTCCAGAAACTGTTTATATTCTGGATCTGTAAATTTAAAACAGAATGAATGAAATGAATCAATGAATGAATGAATGAGTACACCCCTCTCTCCAACTGCAGGCAATGTTTGATCAGCACATTTCATCTGTGGGTTTATAATTCCGCTTCAGAAAAGGGCTCACCATCTTCAATGCTTCCAGTCTTGGCATCTTTCTTCTTCAGCTTCTTTTTGGCAATCTTCTGGAAGGGAGCAAACTCCACCACTGCAGGATACTCCAGGCCTTTTATGGAGACAGAGTCCAAAGATGACCGTGAAACTCTACTATATTCACTTTGGAAAACAATGATCTAATGTACATGGAGTCAAAGGATGATGTCATCAAGGTAACTGCTTCGGGAAGAGCAGGAGGCAAAGAAAAAACACTTTGACATGACATGGCCCTGAGGACTCACTCACGACCTCAAACCGCTCCCTTGAAAAGGGAGGAAACCCAGCTACTCCATATTACTTCCAAATAATTTATGAAGGAAATATCACCACTCAGTTATTGTTGCTGTTGTTGTTTTGGGTTTTTGTTGTTGTTATAATCAACTATTTTAATTTTAAGATGTTATGGGCTAGAGAGAGCTCAGTGGTTAAGAGCATTTGCTGTTCTTGCATGGGACCTGGATTTAGTTCTAAGCACCTCACATTAGGTGGCTCACAAACACCTTTAACTCCACTTCCAGGGAATCTGATGCCCTCTTCTGGCTTCTGAGGACACCTGCACACACATGGTATACATACATATACTCAGGCATGGACACATACATACACATAAAATAAAAATAAAATCTAAAAAAGAATTAATGTTAAGATGTCAATTCAACTATTGAACTGTTATAGAGACTCAAGGAAATTACTTTGCTTAAAAGAGACACAGGGTTGCCGGGCAGTGGTGGTGCACACCTTTAATCCCAGCACTTGGGAGGCAGAGGCAGGCGGATCTCTGTGAGTTCGAGGCCAGCCTGGTCTCCAAAGCGAGTTCCAGGAAAGGCGCAAAGCTACACAGAGAAACCCTGTCTCGAAAAAAACAAAAAACAAAAAACAAAAAAAGGACACAGGGCTTTAGGGCTTGGAAACTTCAAGGACATGTACTATGATGTACATGTCTGTTTCAAACAAAAAGGTGAAGAAGGAAGCAGCAGGAGCTGATTTTATTGTTATATGGGAAGGGAGATGAACATATAAAGAAATATTCTCGTTAATAGACTTTAAACCAATACATGGAACCCTCGGCCTCAGAGTTAAACCCACTGAGCACTATCATTTTAAAGCTTGTGAGTCATGCACTCCTCTGATGGTAAAGGTCGAACTTACTTGGAATAGGTTTTGGGCTAACCTCCACTGTGCAGAATGAACAAGGGACAAGGAGGGGCTGGGGCCGGCAAGATGGCCTAGTGGGCAGCAGTACTCGTTACCAAGCCTGATGACCTAAGGAAGATCCCTGCGACCCATACCGACAGGAGAGAACTGACTCTGACAAGCTGCCTTCTGATCTCCACAATTACAACACGACACAGAAGTGTACATACACACAGAGGAGTGTACATACACACACACAGATACACCAGTGTACACACACACAGAAAAGTGTACACATACACACACAGATAACAAGTGTATATATACACAGAGGCATATACACACGGGAGTATACACATACAGGGAGTGTACATACACACATACAGAGACGTATACACACAGGAGTGTACACACACAGAAGTGTACACACACAGAGGAGTGTACATACACAGAGATGTATACACACAGGAGTGTACATACACACACAGAGATGTATACACAAAGGAGTGTACATACACACAGAGACATATACACACAGGAATGTACACATACACACAGACGTGTACACACACAGAGGAGTGTACATATACAAACACAGATACACAAGTGGACACACACAAAGGCGTATATACACACAGAGGAGTGTACACACACACACACACACACACACACACACACACACACACACACACACACACACATATACAGGCCCTAACCTTTATTCCCAATGAAGATATATCCATCAAAACGATCTCTGAACAGAAGGATGTCATCAGGGTTCCGAAAATTAATGTATGCTCTTGAGTAGAGATGAGGATAGAGACTGAAATATGAGATAACAATAAAAATGTTAGTAAGACTGCAGGACTCCCTTAGTTTTGCCTTATTTATCTTTTATTAATACAGCAAATATTTTTTATGCCAAATAATCACTTCTCAGCTAATTATAACAATCTAGATAGTCTTTTTGTTTTTGTCTTTGTTTTTTTGAGACAGGGTTTCTCTGTGTAGCCCTGGCTGTCTTGAAACTCATACCATAGCCCAGGCTGGCCTAGAACTCACAGAGATCCACCTGCCTCTGCCTCCTGAGTGCTGGGACCAAAGATGTGTACCACCACTACCCGGCTCCAATCTGGATATTCTTTAGCAAAAAACAAAACAAAAAAACCAACCATTAACTGAAGCCTTGATTACTCAGGAGCGTCTCTACTGTACATAACTAAGATTAAATTACTAGACTTCAGCCTGGCGGTGGTGATTAGTCCCAGCACTTGGGAGGCAGACGCAGGCAGATCTCTGTGAGTTCAAGGCCAGCCTGGTCTACAGGGTGAGATCGGGGACAGCCAGGGCTACACAGAAACCCTGTCTCGAAAGACAAACAAATACTAGACTTCAGAAGTCACCCAACGGCCATGAACATTTGGACGTTTTTAGTCATTCCTGGTACATCAAGAACAAGAAGATGACTAGTCTTGGCTCTTTCATGGATGAGGATGTAGTACTATGAGGTTCTTTTCAGATGGGTAGGCCAGTTTCAGGAGCGTTGGTACTTAGAAAAAATGAAAGCATTCTCCCTCTCAGCCACACTTCTTTTCACAGGTAGGAACTCTTCAATTCCACTTCACAGAGACTACTAAAGGTCAGAGAAGTCTGTTCGTAGGGAGGGTGCAAGTTACAAGGAGGGGCTGGGATTGTACCCTGAGTCACTCCCTGTTGTGTTAACTGTTTTTCTAAACTTCAGCTATCCGAAAACCACCTGTTTAACAACTACTTGTATTTTTATTTGAAGACGATTTTTCTTTTCTTTTTCTTTTTACAAAAACAGGTATCCCAAAGGAATTTGCATAAGACATAAACGAAAACATAAAAGGATATAAAAATATCGTGAAAAATCCCGAATCTCAATGGCACTGACATCTGCTGGTTAGGCCAGCCCTGCGTTGCTCCAATCACTGCAGAAAGAGAACCTGTCTGACTGGGTGATGCTGCCCACAGGAACACGATGGCAATCCCACTTCTCCGGGCTCAATTCCTGGTCCTTCACTAGCGAAAACACTCCAGACTCACGTGTATAAGGGATGCACTCTGGTTTTTCTCATCATACAATTTATTAAAAGCTATGTGGAGGGAGGCCTGGAAACACAAAGGACACAACGTGCGGTGTCACCGGCGCACCACGGTCCTGTACAGAGTGAGAATGTCATGCCCATCCATAACGGGCGTGCACTGACAGCTGGAAGGGGGACAGATGAAGGGGGACAGATGGCAATCACGAGCGCTGCCAGGTCCTCAGTCCATCACCCGCGTCCCGCGGCAACCCTCACCTGAGGTCCGCAGCCACCACCTCAAAGTAATCGTGCGCAGGCAGGGGGCGCAGTTGCTCTTCCAGCTGCTCTTTGGTGAGGCCGGGGGGCAGACGCCGGAGGACCACCTGGGATGACCATGGCTCGTCATTTAGATGCTGCCGCCCGGCCGCCCGGCCGCTCGGCCCACCCAGGCCGCGGGCCCACCGAGCCCGACCACCGCTGCTCCCCGACTCTAGCCTGCCTGGGGAGGCGGCGGCTCGCATCCCCATGGGAACGCCGCGGCCGAGGCCCCGCCCCTAAGACCAGCACACCGCCCCACTCTCCTCAAGCCCCGCCCTCCTCGGGCTCAAAGCCGTGCTCTCGCGAGAACGGCTGGCCCCACCCCGCGGCGTGCCCTGGACCAGTCTCCCCGCGGGAGGTTCCGAGGCCCCGCCCCCACCTTGCTCAGGGCCGTCCTCTTCTCCTCGCGAGGCTTGCCCGCCCCGCTCTCGCTGAAGGCCGGGGCCGGCGCCGCCGCCGCCGACTCCCTCCGCGGCGACTCGCGGCGGAACGGGGCCTCCGGGCCCGACAGTTTCTCCCTCCAGCTGGGAGCCCGCGCAGGAAGGGCCTCACCCAGGCCTCCGGCCCCCTCTTCCGAGCGCATCCCCACCGGCCGCCCGCCCTCCCACCGCCGCCTCCACCGCGAGAACGAAGCCTCGCGAGGACTAGGCAGCCCCTCCCTTGGCATTCGGTGTCCAGCGTCCCCTCCCCGGGCCTGCCGGGGGGAAGGGGCGGTGCCAGTGCTGCCCTGCGCCGGGGGTGGGCAGCCAGGCGGGCCCTGAAGGCTGGCGGTGCCCCAAGGTTGCACGTTACCAAAACATCCTCAGCATCCTCCGACAGCGGCGACAGGAAATCGATGCCGTCACACTGTGCACGGAAAACAAACGCACGTTCCGGATATCCCGTGGGCTGCTGACCTGCGATGTGGATGGCATGCATCCATGATAGTCTGGGACTGGGAGGCCCCAGGAACCATTTCTGGCCCACTCAGTCTCACCGGGGCAGCACCGAAACTAAAAAAACATTTTTCTTCTATAGACCTACAAGCAACAGTTTTCCTATGTGCTCAGATTTTACGTACCGTTGGCTGTAGTTTTTAGTTATAGCACCTTTCTCCTGAGAAAATTTCAGAAATGTATTTACAGATTGTATTGTGAAGCCTGTATTGATATTGACACTCTTGAAATGTGACGTTTTAAATAGGCCAAAGACTCAAAAACAGTGTACAAGGCCTCAAACATCAGCCTTCTATAAAACCCATGAGCAGGAGCAGTCTCCAGTATTTCATGGTTCCAAGGAAGCCTAGGGTTCGGAGCCCACTGTTTGAACCTGCTCAGTTTGGAGTAGCCAGTTATGCTGACCAGAAGCTATGCTGGCCTGTTAACCTTATTAGGAAGAAAATGTGTGTTTGAGAGGCTGATAAAAATGTGGAGATGAGTTGTCAGGAAAAAACACAAAAACAAAACCCCACACCCAGATGCTAGATTGTACAGAGCTGATGGATAGTAACTTCACAAGTAAATTGGATTATAAACTCAGAGCCAAAATTATCAGGGTAGCTTTAGCCTCCTGAACAAAGGCATTGATTGCCCATCTGTGTGTCTGACCTAACACCCTCTTAACTGTTCTGTAAACTGCCGGTTAGTTTGGTTAGTTTATATCAACTTGACGCAATCACTCAGTTGAACTGAGGTACTGCTTTCATCAGATTGGCCTATGCAGACAGTTTCTTGACTAATGACTAATGCCCACTGTGGGCAGTTCCACCCAGAGCAGGTTGGTTATTGGCTGTAATAAATAAGCCAATAAGCAGCATTCTTCTGTGCTTGCTATTGCAGATCTTGCCTCCAGGTTCCTACTAGAATTTCTGCCCTGACTTCCCCTCAATGATGGATTGTTGACTTAACAGCTGCAAGAGCAAATAAATCTCTCTCTGCCACAAGATGTTCTTAGTATTTTATCACAGCAACAGAAAACTAGGATAGAAATTGGTCCTAGATAGTGGGCGATTGCTGACAGGCCTGACCATGTTATTTGGAGGATTGTGGAAGTGTTTGGTGCTTGAGGCTGGAAAAGCCACTGAGTACTCAGAGCTTAATGAGCTGTTGTGGGGACATGAAAGATACCAATGAGAAATGCAGGTGATAGAGGCATTCACAAAGAATCACAGGGTCATAAAGACTATTGGGGAAGCGAGTGGTGGTGGCACATGCTTTAAATCCCAGCGTCAGGGAGGCAGAGGCAGGCAGATCTGTGAGTTTGAGGCCAGCCTGGTCTACAGAGCAAGTTCCGGGACAGGCTCCAAATGCTACCCAGAGAAACCCTATCTCAATAAAACTCAGCCCTCTGAAACTATAAGAAAAAAGCTTTCTTCAGTAAGTTGCCTTGATCATAGAATTTTATCACAGCAACAGAAAGGTAACTGATACACTCTACTATCTCAGAAACTTCTCAAAAATTGTTTCAAAGTATGAATTTATTGAAAAAGACACAATAAACAGTTTGCTATCTTTATTCCATTATGTATGACTACTTTGTAGGTTCACAAGATCAGCAAACATCTGCTGCCAAGGTGTGCTATCTCATCTCTTAATTCAGGCCACTGGTCCTCAACGTAGAGATGTAGTTTGGATTCACATTAGGAAGAGGGAAATTCTTAAGACTAGCATGGATACAAGGGAATACTGACCTACATAGCACGCGGCGGGGTGTGGGGTGTAGGGTGTGGGGGGTAGGTCCTGACCAATGTCTTGAGTTATGTGCTGTGGTCTGACATAGATGTCTCTAACATCATGTCGCTTTCATTCATTTCAATTTCAAAGGTTTCTTCCAAGGAAGGCCTGGAATCTGGAGTTTTATTGGCATTTTCCAGAGGTGCAAGTCCTGCTTCCTCTGTGGTCGGTTTTTCTACTTCAAAGTCCCTGAAATCCCACGGAGGTGAAATGATGTTTTTTAGTGTCTTCATTGTATGCACATCAAAGTCATAACATTTTAATTTGTCTTTAATGTCTGCTCCTAAAAAGAAACACCATAATTAGAAAACGTGAAGTTCCATCATTAACAGTTATGCTACTGCCACTGAAGCCCAACTGTACTTTAAAGAACATGGACACAGGTCAGAAGGGGATGCCATTCTTCTTCTCTCCTTTCCTTCTTCATTTCCACCATTCTCAAAGGAGATGCTGAGAGAAGTCTTCAAAGCACATGCAGTCAGTCATGGCTCCTTCCTGGCTCCATAGCTAACTATTCCCAAAGCCTGAGTAATTCTATTCCTTAAACCATGTTGGGCAGTCACTCATAGAAACAGATGCATAGTGTCAAGCTATATCAAAGTCTATAAAAACATTAAGATTAAAATATATTTGAGCCAATCTAATCAGATAGATTAGGTCCAGTAATTTCTGACATAACTGAAAACATTATACATTTCATACTAATACCTTTCAAGACTAGGTACTTTGGCAGAGGATGACATAAACATCCTAAAATAAAAACAGTAAGTATAAATTATTATAACTTGGAACCTGAATGTGTTGAGAAATACCTCAGCTATTTGTAAAGTACACTTGAGGTGTATCTGTAAAGGCAGGTTTAGGAGGAATAGTTAAGAGCAGAGGACCTGCTCTGAATGTGGGCAGTAATACCCCTAAGCTAGGGGCCCATATGGGAGAGAAGGAAAAAGCCAGCAAACACAGCATTTTCTCCCTCGGCTTCCTGGCTGTAATCTGCTCTGCTTCCTCATGCCTGGAACTCCTCAAACCGTGCCCGCTGTGGGATGGTCTGTATGGCAAATGTGTTGCTCTGATTGGTCAATAAATAAATCACTGATTGGCCAGTGGCCAGGCAGGAAGTATAGGCAGGTCAAGGAGGAGAATAAAGCTGGAAAGTGGAAGGCTGAGTCAGAGACACTGCCAGCCGCCACCAGGACAAGCAGCATGTGAAGATGCCGGTAAGCCACGAGCCATGTGGCAAGGTATAGATTAATGGAAATGGATTAATTTAAGTGTAAGAACAGTTAGCAAGAAGCCTGCCACGGCCATACAGTTTGTAAGCAATGTAAGTTTCTGTGTTTACTTGGTCGGGTCTGAGCGGCTGTGGGACTGGCGGGTGAGAGAGATTTGTCCTGACTGTGGGCCAGGCAGGAAAACTCTAGTTACACGCGCCACAATAAAACTTTTCTGAATTGTTTCTATCAAGTAATTTTGACACAGTAACAAAAAGTCTGACATAGAAGCTGGAGCTCAGATGCCCCCCAAAGTCACAGGGGATGCCTACTATTGGTGGTTAGCTTTTTACCTTGGGTCTTAGGTTTGTGTGTGTGTGTGTGTGTGTAAATGTATATAGTTCAGCATCCTTGACCTATGATAAGCCTTCCTCCAACAGTGACTGAGATTAATTATGTGATTCGTTTTGATGAACAGAGTATGATGAATGTGATGTGCAACTTTCAAGGTCTTGAAATTTAATTCCTTGTCAAACCTCGGAGAGCAGCTACACTATTTAGTAGCCTTGGATGAAAATCTCAGGGCTTGGCCGCCATCTCAGCTGAAGTCCCCCACCCACTGGTGAGCCCATTATAGAGTCAGTCATACGTCTGCTGACCACAACCACATGAATAATGAACCAGGATGCCCAGGAGAAGGTCACTCAAGTGACCGACAGAACTCAACCATTCATTACTGTTGATTAAACCACTGGATGTGGGTAGCCTAGTACTCAGCAATATTTAACTGGTAACTTTGGTAACACACTGGATAGTTTTCCAGATTTTATTCATTCCTGTCTCTACCATAATCAAAACCACAGAAATGTCAGTTGTTCACATCCTCACCAACACTGTCGAGATGGCTCAGAGGTTAAGAGCACTAGCTGCTTGGAAGATGCATGGTGGCCTCTTATGCCAACAGCAGCTCCATTCCCAGGTAAGAGATGTTGCTGAATACCTTCAATGTGCTTCCTAACAACATGCCACTCTTCCAGTGTTTGCTCCTTTTCATGGGTGGGACGCGGACAGACAGACAGACACAGACACACAGACACACAGACACACACACACACACACACACACAGTGGAATTTGCGACTATATGTGTAGCTCAAGCTGACCTGCTTCACACTATCCTCCTGTCGCAGCAGTCCAAGTCCAAGATTACAGACACGGACTACTGCCCTTCCAGCATATTTGCCCAGTTTTAATGTATTTTTTTCTTGCAGGATTTTTGTTTTATTCTAGATATGAATGTAGACAAATTTCTAAATGGTCTTATTAAATAAAAAACCTAGAGCCAGATATCGGGGTTAAAGCTGAGATCAGAGGAATAGGAAAAGCCACAAGCCAACCTCACCTTACCGACCCTCAGCTTCCAAAAGAGCCCTCCTTCCTGTACACCCATGCCTATATGCCTTTCTGTTCTGCTATCTCATTTGCTGTCTCTCTTCAGCTACATCATCACTTCCTCTTCCTGCCCAGCTCTGTCACTTCCTGTCTGTCTGTACAGACCTCCGAACCTTTATGGTTAACTAGTGTTGGAATTTAAGGCTCTGTTCCCAGTGTGGCCTTGAACTCAGAGATCCAGACAGATCCCTGCCTCACTTTTAATGATAGGATTAAAGGTGTGTGC